AGATAGCTAAGTCGTGGCCACGAGATAAATTACCAATCAGATTACACCATTCATATGAATTTACATAATTAACTAGACATGTGCTATAGTACAAGGATGCCCCTACTTCACCAGCCTGTTAAAGTGCCATTTATACTACATATTGACTAGTCAATAATTTTACATTTAGCGTCAATGTGACCCTGATTTTTTACCCAATGACCTCGAAATTATTAAATGTCATCTACTGATCAGGTGCAATGATATTTCTGGGTTATATAAACCATGGCTTATCCCTTCTTAATTATTCATCAGACAATGATTTTACGTTATAGGCTATCAACTGTCCATTGGCAATGTCGCTATCAAATAAAATAAACCAGGACCAATGTAATCATATAAACAAGGTTAACAGGCCATAGTACGTACAAACTGACCAATTCGATCACAAACTTATTGTTTATATAAGTTTTACTTGAACATTTCCTGTTCTGTTGTTTTCCTTCATAAATATACGCCAGAATTTGAGTTTCATATTGTGTGTTCAATAGGAAACTGTTGAAAAAATACAATCCTTAAAATTTGAATCATAAGTTATAAAGACATGAGGAAAAATTAAAAAACATTCGTGTGAATATATATCAGGAACGTCAAGGAGAGATAAAATCAATAAACATTTATAGCTGATTTCGTATTGTTCTTAAAACTTTGTACCCAACTGGTAACATTTAAGCGTTTCTATTGCTGTATTCAAAGTCTTTCAATATTTATTTGATATTGATTAAACCATTCTTTAATGAAGATGACCATACATACGGTGGCACAAATGTGACATGTGTGTGTGTTTTTATTTATCTCGTGGCCACGAGATACTTTGTTGTGGCCACGAATTACTAAGTCGCGGCCACGAGATAGCTAAGTCGTGGCCACGAGATACTATGTCCTGGCAACGAGCTACTAAGTCGTGGCCACGAGATACTATGTACTGTCAACGAGTTACTAAGTCGTGGCCACGAGATAGCTAAGTCGTGGCCACGAGATAATATGTCGTGGCCACGAGTTACTAAGTCATGACCACGAGTTACTAAGTCGTGGCCACGAGATAGCTAAGTCGTGGCCACGAGATACTATGTCGTGGCCACGAGTTACTAAGTCGTGGCCACGAGATAGCTAAGTCGTGGCCACGAGATAGCTAAGTCGTGGCCACGAGATACTTTGTCGTGGCCACGAGTTACTAAGTGGTGGCCACGAGATAGCTAAGTCGTGGCCACGAGATAGCTAAGTCACGGCCACGAGATACTATGTACTGGCAACGAGGTTACTAAGTCGTGGCCACGAGATAGCTAAGTCGTGGCCACGAGATAATATGTCGTGGCCACGAGTTACTAAGTCATGACCACGAGTTACTAAGTCGTGGCCACAAGATAGCTAAGTCGTGGCCACGAGATACTATGTCGTGGCCACGAGTTACTAAGTGGTGGCCACGAGATAGCTAAGTCGTGACCACGAGATAGCTAAGTCGTGGCCACGAGATACTTTGTCGTGGCCACGAGTTACTAAGTGGTGGCCACGAGATAGCTAAGTCGTGGCCACGAGATAGCTAAGTCACGGCCACGAGATACTATGTCGTGGCCACGAGTTACTAAGTCGTGGCCACGAGATAGCTAAGTCGAGGCCACGAGATAAATTACCAATCAGATTACACCATTCATATGAATTTACATAATTAACTAGACATGTGCTATAGTACAAGGATGCCCCTACTTCACCAGCCTGGTAAAGTGCCATTTATACTACATATTGACTAGTCAATAATTTTACATTTAGCGTCAATGTGACCCTGATTTTTTACCCAATGACCTTAAAATTATTAAATGTCATCTACTGATCAGGTGCAATGATATTTCTGGGTTATATAAACCATGGCTTATCCCTTCTTAATTATTCATCAGACAAGGATTTTACCTTATAGGCTATCAACTGTCCATTGGCAATGTCCCTATCATATAAAATAAACCAGGACCAATGTAATCATATAAACAAGGTTAACAGGTCAAAGTACGTACAAACTGACCAATTCGATCACAAACTTATTGTTTATATAACATTTCCCACATGTGCTATAGTACAAGGATGCCCCTACTTCACCAGCCTGTTAAAGTGCCATTTATACTACATATTGACTAGTCAATAATTTTACATTTAGCGTCAATGTGACCCTGATTTTTTACCCAATGACCTCGAAATTATTAAATGTCATCTACTGATCAGGTGCAATGATATTTCTGGGTTATATAAACCATGGCTTATCCCTTCTTAATTATTCATCAGACAATGATTTTACGTTATAGGCTATCAACTGTCCATTGGCAATGTCCCTATCAAATAAAATAAACCAGGACCGATGTAATCATATAAACAAGGTTAACAGGCCATAGTACGTACAAACTGACCAATTCGATCACAAAATTGTCCCAACAAAGAGCTTTATATATAGTCAAAATAAATGTCCCATGGGCTTTGGAAGGTGACTTTCTAATATGATCCTAAAGACAAGTTCAAAGTGAATATCTTCAGTATTTTCAAAGATTAATGTAAAAGTAAGTTGTTAAGTCTAAAAATTTATAATATATATAGTGTATTCTCATTTGGCATTCGACATAGTATCTCGTGGCCACGACTTAGCTTTCTCGTGGCTCGTGGCGACGACTTAGTTATCTCGTGGCCACGACTTAGTAACTCATGGCCACGACATAGTATCTCGTGGCCACGACTTAGCTATCTCGTGGCTACGACTTAGTAACTTGTGGCCACTACTTAGTATCTCGTGGCCAAGACTTAGCTATCTCGTGGCCACGACTTAGTTACTCGTGGCCACGACATAGTATCTCGTGGCCACAACTTAGCTATCACGTGGCCACGGCTAAGTAACTCGTGGCCACGACTTAGTTACTTGTGGCCACGACTTAGCTATCTCGTGGCCACGACTTAGTAACTCGTGGCCACGACATAGTATCTCGTGGCCACGAAATAAATAAAAACACACACATGTCACCTTTGTGCCACCGTACCATTGTCATTATGATAGTAAATGTAAATTTTATCATCGTCAGTTTCATAATAAACATTTTTAGCTCGACTTTTTTTTTTTGAAAAAAAAAGTAGAGGTATTGTTATAGTCAGGTCGGCGTTGCCGTGCCGTTGCCGTTGCCGTCCGAAAACTTGTACCTGAATCATAACTTTTTTATTTCTTGGTGTATTGTCTTCATACTTGGCCACAACAACCCTTGGGACAAGACCTTTCAGTAGACCACACTAACCTTGACCTTCATCCATAAATGACCTTGACCTTCAAGGTTAAAAGTCCAATTTTTGCTTGTTTATGCTGTTATTGGCTGTAACTTTGTTATTTTTGAATGGATTGTCTTCAAACTTGAACATAATAATCTTCAAGGATATCCCTTAAAAATAACCAGACAGACCTTGACCTATACTCATCAATGACCTTGACTTTGAAGGTCAAATTATTGAAATTTTCATTTTTTTGGCTATTATTGGCTGTAACTTTGTTATTTTTGAATGGATTGTCTTCAAACTTGAACATAATAATCTTCAAAGATAACTGTTAAAAATATACCGAAAGACCTTGACCTTCACTTATTAATGACATTGTCTTTGAAGGTCAAATTATTGAAATTTTCATTGTTTTGGCGGTAACTGACTGTAGGTATTTTTGAAGGGATAAACTTCATATTATAACAGAACATTCTTAAGGACCAGACCTTGTTGTTTATCAAACCCAAATTTGCTTGGGCTCTTTAATGACCTTGACCTTGAAGGTTATATTACTGAATTTTCTCAGATTGTGCATTTATTGATGTGTGTGTATGTATACACACACACACACACACACATATATATATATATATATATATATATATATATATATATTGCGTCATTTTTTCTATTTTTAGAAATTGCGTCATTGTTGCTATTTTTAGAAATAGCGTCATTTTTTTTTCTATTTTTAGAATTTGCGTCATTTTTTTTCCTATTTTTAGAAATTGCGTCATTTTTTCTCTCTATTTTTAGAAATTGCGTCATTTTTTTCTATTTTTAGAAATTGCGTCATTGTTTCTATTTTAAGAAATTGTGTCATTGCTTCTATTTTTAGAAATTGCGTCATTGTTGCTATTTTTAGAAATTGCGTCTTTTTTTTTCTATTTTTAGAAATTGCGTCATTTTTTTTTCTCTATTTTTAGAAATTGCGTCATTTTTTTTTTTTTTTAGAATTTGCGTCATTTTTTTCTTTTTTTAGAAATTGCGTCATTTTTTCTTTTTTAGAAATTGCGTCATTTTTTCTATTTTTAGAAATTGCATCATTGTTGCTATTTTTAGAAATTGCGTCATTGTTGCTATTTTTAGAAATTGCGTCATTTTTTCTATTTTTAGAAATTGCGTCAATTTTTCTATTTTTAGAAATTGCATCATTGTTGCTATTTTTAGAAATTGCGTCACTTTTTTATTTTTAGAAATTATGTCATTTTTTTGTATTTTTAGAAATTGCGTCATTTTTTCTATTTTTAGAAATTGCGTCATGTTGCTATTTTAAGAAATTGCGTACTGTTGCTATTTTTAGAAATATGCTTAATGTTTCTATTCATATATATACAAAATATATAAAGAAAACTAATGTGACAAGACAGACCAACTAATTTTATAAAAAGGAAACGTTAATATATGTTCAAACCTTTCTATGTTTGCGTTTAGAAAAAGTAAAAAGTCGAGCGTTGCCCCCGCCCGGCGGTGGCTCTTGTTATTTGTGTTCCCATTATCATTATTATTATTAACAAATGAGATTACTTTTTAAAATAGTATCAATTATGCCACAGGATTCTTCAAACATACAGTATTTATTTAAAAGAATGTACTTTATTGAATAATGTAATTCATGTTATTATATCTATGCTTTGACCAGTTCAGAAGACTATATGCTGTGTCCCAACTGTCGAGCCGTACATATGAAACCATCATCTGGTGCAGCAGGTTTTAACACAAATGACGATTTAGAACGAATAATTGCTGCCGACACTCTTCCCGGTGTACCATATATATCGGAGACTACCAACGGTAGAACTAGAGCCCAACGACACATTGGCCGCTATCGTCAAGCGACTTCAAGTAACATTAATGCTATGAGGCAACAAAGCATACCAACTGTCTCATCAACTATCGATCGTCCTAACAACGTGTATAATAATAGGCAACGAGTAGGTTGAACTTAATGTTTAATTCATGACATTAGATAATAAAACCAGTCAACGAAATCTATATTATGTAAAATATTAAGTTATAAATCATGCTTTATTAATTGTTAAAAGTTAAATGTAAAATTTAAACTTTATCCTTCACAGTCTATAATATGTTTTCTTTCTGAATAGCTTTGATTTAGTACAACTGTAAACATTATGTTTACAAACATTTAGTTTTGTTTGTGTTTCACAAAAATGAAACCATTTAACTCCAGCAATATTTGAGTTATGTTTTTATCCTATATATTACTTATCATCATATTCTCTGCTTTTTATTATAACAGCAAGAAGAAGCTGACCACCTGCTTGCCTTACAAATGTATGCTTTTAATATTGTTTCATTCATTCTTGTTAATCTTGAAATAATAATTGTAAAGAATTTTGGTATGAACAGAACATCAGTCTGGTATTTCCTAAAAGGTTACAAATATATTGAAATAAATTTAACATATATCACCAATTAAAAGATAATGATAATGAGGTTAAATGTAATTACAAAGAACCATGATTAGCCTGTAAAGTTCGGAATAACAATTTTTGTTTGTCAATTGTAAACAATTACTGATTCGTTTTGGAGTTCATGGTTTATATTTCATAATACAAAGTAACTATTATCTAATTTAATAATGTTATAAGGAGATCTCAGCTACCTGCCTCTCTGCTTCTCAGTGTGATAATTCGCTTAGGTAGATAATTCTTTTAAGTTACATAATCAATACCATTAGAAATGCAATGCAATAGAAATCTGTATTATTCTAAGTATATAATAATAAATGGAAGATGATATATGTGTACTTAATCAATTCAAGTGTTAGTTTACTGATTATGGAAAATTAGACAAGGAAAGAACAATGCCGATTCAATTCAACTGAGACACCCTCATATAGTGTACTTGTAGTAGCGGTTAAAAACTTTACAATACATCTGTACTGAACAGTCTAAATATTATTAAAACCGTTTATCTATTCTTATTTGATTGATTTTCTGGCATTTTGTCATAGAGTTTCCTTTGATTGCTTTTTTTCGACCTTCGTTTGTCCTACTACTTGAATTCATATTTATGATTTATAAAAGTTTTTCCTTGACAAAGCTGTTTATATATGTCTAATTTTCAATTTAGGTCAACCAATAGTTATGTTAACTATAGCGGACAACAACCAAACATAGATAGAAGACTACAAGGAGAAAGAGAAAGAAGACAACAACAAGAAAGGGATAGAAGACAACAACAAGAAAGGGATAGAAGTCAACAACAAGAAAGAGATAGAATACAACAAGAAATAGATATAATACAACAACAACGACGAATTGAAAGAAATAGAAGACATCAAGAAGAAATAGATAGGATACAACAACAACAACAACAACAAGAAATAGATATAATACAACAACAACAAGATGAAATATATAGAATAGAACACGAAAGAGGGAATCACTTAAACGTCGGCACATGTGGTTTTATAAGTAAGTGATGCTGACATGGGATTATTTTTATGAACAAGAAATTTATATTTAAAATCAAAACATTAAAAGTTGAATGACACAAAAGAAGCGGATTCTTTGACCTAGGGAAAATTAAAACATTATATTTTAATATGCACTTTAAGTGCAAGTTATATTATTGATAATAATAATTACGTACCAAGTACCAAAATAAAATCTCCTTCAAATCTATTATTGCTAAAAGCTAAAGGTGAAACTCAAAAATGATAGATAATGATTATAAGTAATGTTTAGTTAAAGTTATTTCATGCTTTAAAGCTGCTTTTTAACTCGGCTATATTTATCTTTTTGTTTATTTTTGAAGCAAGTATAAGACGACAGAAACAGCGTGTTGTTCATGCTTTTTTGAATGATCATTATGTTTGTAAGTATATACTCTTTTTTGAAGATTGTGTCAAAGTTGACAGTCTCTGATTTGTGAAAGTAGTAAAAGTTACTAGTTGATATAAACGTTAAGCTGGATCATAAGGTTTTCATGATATCTTTTCAAATGCGTGACGTATGACATAATTATTTATATCATGCTTTTACCATGATTGAAACTTGATATTATATAAATGTTTTGATGTATTGTCAGCAGACTCAAAATGAATTATATGCTCCCGGAAGGACAACATATAGACGCGACCTTGTACGTCCTTTTCCCGGCTGTTCTTTATTCATCTGTTCAAGATTATAATTTTAAACCATTAATGATATTTCATTGAAACAAACGAACATAAATCTACACCATTTTTTAAATGATATCCCATAATATTACTCAATTTGTTTGTTTTTGTTTGTTTGTTTCATTTTACGCCTTTTCCCAACAGTATTTCAGTCATATAGGCGGGTAGTTTCCTAACCATCGTTCCTGGAGAGTTACACCAGTACTATACTACCTTCCTCCGTGCTAAACTACCAAAGCATATCCCGGGGATCGAACCCACGCCAGAGAGGTAACTGGATTAGAAGTCATCGACTCTAACCCCTCGACCACGTAATATTACTTAAAGTGTATTGTTCTATAATACTGGAAGGTCTGTAGTACAACGAATAATTACGTTGAAAGTATTAATAATCAGACACAACATCAAACCACCAAGTTTTAGTAGGTGTAGCAGATAATAAAATGTTCTTGAACAAAATATTATTCATCATGCGTATAAATAAAGAAATGCAATAGATAGAGTCCCCGTTTAGGTAGATTCAGTTAAAGAAATATACCACCTGGCCTATCGTTTTGTTTAAATCTTACAAAGATAGGGAACTTTTCAGAGTTATCGGATCAAGCACATTAACCGGCACCAAATATAGGAACATCCGAAAAATTTCCTGAATAGAAAGTAAACGAAAAGTTCTATATGACGTTGCCAGAATATCTCGGGAAATAAAGTTAGACTAGGATTAACTTTACACCGACGACACGTTATATAATATGCAACAGGAGCCGGAAAAGACACTAGCGCAAGACCTAAAACATACAGAAATTCAAATTTTAGAAACACACTTAACTATGACACAAAGCCAAACCGATCACGAAACAAAACAAGCGATGTTAATACGTATATAAAGAGACCACGACAAACCATTTGGCCATCAGGAAAATGACCGGTTTGGATGTTATTTAATCTCAAAGAAAGGATTTAATAAATAAATACACCAATTTCCGAGATATGGAGGTAAAGCAGAACCGCCTGACCTAAAATTGAAATATTCTACGTTATTTTTAAAACAACAATAATTTCTCTAAAAATAAACGCTACTCACCCAGAGTACCTTCCCTAAACTTATGTAATTTTCACTAAAAACTCAGCAGCAACAGGTTTAAAAATAATTGTACATTGAAACATGATATTTACACTACTCTCAAACAATGAATGCATCGTTGTAGGGAAAATATTAACTGTATGATTATTCTGATATTGACATCCCGCTGAAAACAAATTCGATGAGTTATCGATTGCACCGCCATTGCGAGGGATGTCTTCTCGTACTTGGTATGCTGGGAAAAAGGCAACTTCTCCAATGAGCAAGACTCAAGCCTACAAAAAAAACCCAAAATACTTATAACAGCGATAATGAGTACGAGTCGCTGTCTGACTGTTTAGCTTTCACACATGTATCGAAACATTCATCGTCAACATTAAATTATGACTGCAGCAAGACAAATAAAGTTATATCAAATCAAACAAGTATGTCACTTTAGCAATATCCAAGTTACCAACGCCCCGGCATGCCAATTTAAATAAAAATATCAAAAGTGTTGAACCAACAATATTTTCATCAAATGTATATATTTTCTAACGCAATTTACATACAGAAAATAAATTACAGATAGAAAAAAGATTGTGGATAGAAAATGTAAAACAATATTTATGTGAAACTACATAGAAAGTTTAAGCAGTAGTAAATCGTTGCCAAAAACTACATTTCAAAAGATAAAAGATATTTATGCCCATAATTGGCGTTCTGAACTAAATAACACTTGATATACAAGCATTTACAAATACATGTATATCAAATATTCTTCTTCAAGTAGCTATTACCTAGATAAACTACCAGGCAATTCAGCTACGATATGTTTACTATTTTTGACTAGAAATTATTGCCTTCTAATTTAAAAAGGAGGATGGCAGAACATACTTACTCATGATTTGTACCGATATCGGCGATGAGTTTCAGGTCCGAGGTATATTACTAAAATAACAATGGAATCTACTGACACTTCACACAGTGAGAGGAAGCGTCGTGTCAAAGAACCTAAACTCTAGATTTTGAATTACCCACCTGCTCAGAGAGATAATGTGTGTGGTCAAACATCAAAAAAGCTACCTTCTTTGATTTTTGAATAATACTTTATAATGTTTATTACACTTTTGATTTTAATTCATAGTCTCAAAATATTGACGGATGTCTTTAAGATTTGAAAGAGACATACTATGGATGATCCTTTGGTCACAATGGTCACTGGTGCTTAGAATATTTTGTACATTTTTTCCTTTCCCTTAAAGCTATTGTATTTTCTATTAAGTTGGTAGATAATTTGGGTGGCCTTCTAACTATTTGGACTACTTGTCCAACGACACCCGTGCTATGAAGTGATTTTAATGTCAATACCACTGTTATCAGATTGTTAAAATGTGGCTCATACAGACTTTATTTATTGGCTAATGTCGTAAGGTACCTCTTACTTTGTTAGGAGTTAATCCAGATCACTGGTGATTATAAAGACAATTAAGTCTTAATTTACTACTGTACACTGTATGACTTAGACAGTTATATTTCTGATTTAATTAAGGCATGTAAAATTTTGATTTTACATCAAGGAACACGTCCTAAAATAGAAACTTACAATGCATGGCAAAATAATAAGTGGTAATGGTAGAATAATAATCACTAGATATCAACTTAAATGAGCAAGGTATCATTCACCTTTAACATATTTATAATAAATTATGCAAGCACTTGTATTGAGTTTTATTTTCTATTAAATCATCACATTGAGTCTTGGTGACAATACTGCTAAAACTGGTGCTAGAGGACTGAAGAGACGTTGAACTTTTCATGTTCTTCAATTTTCACTTATTTAATTTTTGTTATCATTGATATTAATTTATTACAGGTAGTTTCAAGATTCCGTCGTTATATTGTTATATCACAGATAGGAAGTGCTGCCCGCTTGTGAAAATCAGGGTTAACATTCATAATTTCATTTTATTCAGTTGTGTAACCTCGCATTATTGAACAACAGGTTTTTTCCCTTTCATGAAACGCTCTATGAACATCGCCGTAAGAAAATATCTTTTTTTACATTCACTCTTCCCTAATTTTCATATAAAAATGTTGAAGTATGCTTAAACAAGAAGAGTGTTGATGCCAGTCAGCATAAGCATCTACTGTCAATATAAAGTATTATATGTGAATATGTTTTAATCATATATTTCAGGGCATTACCTGATCATTTTGATCTCCGACCTTGTTACATTCAGTCGCTTAGTTGCAGGTATATCTTGTTTATGCTGTAGTTAATTTAAAACTTTGAAATGTCACTTTGAAAAACGAGCAAATGAGAGTATCTGATATCATTTCTTTAAGAATAAGGAGACATTGAATGCTAAAATAATATAATCATTGATTGCAAATGTTGCGAATAATTACTTTATAAATTCTATAGATATTCAATTATATCTGCTTGTTGAATACAAATAAATTTTAAAACGCTACTTTCAATATGAATTATTTCAATACTCTCATTCAATGTATCTAAGTAAATTTGTTCTTGCTTATTATAAAAGGGGCAGTGAAGTTGTCGTCAAACTGCGATCTTGAACATGAAGTTGCAGTCTACTTGTTTGTTAAGGCGTGTGTTGCTGCCGTTTTCTGGAGATCATATACTGTATGGATCTGCATCTGCAGAAGGAATCCTGAAGAAATACTGAATAACCCTTTTATAGAAGCATACATATTTTTAGATTTGTTGTTTTCTTTATGCTGGTTATGTGTTGGTACGTAAAATATGTCATTTGTTTTAAGTTTTGGGGAATGCTCGAACATATCTAATATAATCTTAATGCCAAAGTGGGAACGATTAAGCTAATAGCAAATGTATAAGAATAGCTTCTATATATGATTCAAGCGATGGCCATCAAAGATTGTAATTGAAATTAAATTTATTTTATTTTATTCCGAATGTACTAATAGAAACAACAGGAATGAAACGTTATTGTTTATTAAGCGACAAGAAAGCTTTTGGTGTTATATGCAATAATGTTTTTACTTTTACTTAAATTTCAGGAACGATGTACATTTTTGGAAACTTCAGCAATTTTAACAATGTATGCCACGGCTCTGATGAACATTTTATTAATTTTGCCCTGACTCTCACAATTATGGATTACATTGGGCTTGCAGTGTTTATTCTTTTCTGTGGTTGCGTTCTTTGTGAGTCAGTTGACTAAAGCATTTTCGGTGAAAGTTCTTTAGTTAC